GGACACTTGGGTTCGGGGGAGGCGCAACTGGATCAGGTCGAGCCCCTCCAGGGCCGCCAGGTCCCCTTGCACGCGGGTCTCATCCAGGGACAGTCCCCGAAGTTGTGTGAGAGTTCCCAGCGCCGACAGGTTGCCCGACACCTGGGTGCGATCCAGGAACAGACCTCTGAGCCCGGTCAGGCCCTGCACCGCCTCCAGGAAGCCCGTGACCCACGTGGACTCCAGGCGCAAATACACGAGTTTGCTCAGGCTACCAACCGCGGACAGCTTGCCCGAGACCTGCGTATCTGACAACCGCAACTCTTCCAGGTCGGTTACGTTCTGCAGGTCCCCAAGCTCGCCGCCGACCATGGTCTTGGTCAGGACCAGCTCACGCAGGCGGCGCAGCTGTCGCAACGCCTGGAGCTTGCCGGTAATTCGGGTCTCCTGTAACTCGATGACCGTGAGGTTCGGCATCTTGGCCAAAACGGAAAGGTCGCCGGAGATGCGGCCTGTCTTCCAGCTCACAGGGTACTTTGGAAATATGGGGCTTCAAACGATTTCGGGCGCTGCACGCGTATACTTGCGGGTGTTTGCGGGCATGAGCAGCAGCGGGTCGGTCATCCCTTCCTCCTCCCTTCCTCTCCCACTCACCCCGATCTTTTCTGCGGTCCAGGTTTCGGATTCTCATGAAGCCTCGTTTTCAGACGTCCAGGTTTCTCGGTACCGAGGAAGGGGGCCCTGTGCCCCCCCCCCCCCCTGATGTCTGCTATAGATGTTAGAACCCCTGGGCTTGAGCAGCGGATTCGGGTGGGATTCCCGGAAGTATAGGCTCTGAACTCAAGAGCCTCCTCGCAGGCCGCAGGCTTGCAGCGGGTTCATGCGGATCAGTTGTGACAGGACGTCACGAATGACATACACTATGTCTAAGCCGGAGGACCGTAGCTACGGAGAATCATGGAGCTTGTATGACCGCATCGTGTCTTTTTGTAGGGGTGTTTAGGGTGTATATTCGAATCCAAGAGTCCGAGAGAATTCTGTAGGAAGTTTCGGGCTCAGGCTTCTTCGCCCTTTTTCGGGCAATCTGTCCAGTCGCGCCTTTCAGCTTGAGGTGCTCGAGGCTCGTCAGGTGTGTCAGGTCACCGAGCATGCCGCTGACACCCTCGCCGAGCTTGAGAGTGCGGAGGCTGTGCAAGTGCGAGAGGGCCCTCAAGTCGCCTCGTGCATCGCTAGCGTCGACCTCCTCGACGCAGCCGTTCGAGCAGCTGATGCCGCTCTGGTTGCAGGGCTCGCCCTCTCCCTGCAGGCCGAGGACTTCAGGGCCTTCGCCAGCTTCTCCGTGCCTCGGCTTGGGTTTCCACTACATTCCCCTCAGTAAACCCTCATAAGCCCCAAGCCCTGAATCTCGAGATGAACCCCAACCATCCCAAACTGTAAACCCCTGACCCCCTCTGTATGTTTTCGGGCCGAGGTGCAATTGGCGGCAGCTTCCCCGGTCTCTGCTAGGCTCTCCTGCGTGACCTCGGCTTTTCTATTGCAAAGGCGGTCACGTGCCCACGCCCAAACGGCTAGCAAGGCGGCAAAGCAAGGCAGTCGACATACATCAGCCTGCAGCATTCTAGCCTGGCAGCTCAAATTTACATAAATTTCTGTATATATATATATATACATATATGTTCATGTATATATATATATATATTTATTTATTTATATTTATTTATTTATTTGTTTATTTTAATGCATGTGAAGAAAGCGTTGCTAGAAACAACCCGATGATGACCTGGGAAGGTTTAACAACTTGACCTTCCGTTCTTCAGTGGCCCCTCTCCCCCGGCTTTTTCCCCTTGCCTCCGGGTTCATGGGCTGCTCTGAGGCCGCCTCGCAGCCGTGGGAAGGGGGGGTTCTTACGCCACAAACCATGGGGGGGAAGGTGCTCTTTAGGAGGTTCACAAACAGCGGCCTTTTGGAGTGCTGCCTTGCAGACTTTCGCCTCTCCTTTGCATTTGGGTGCTTTTGGGTGGTGCCTTCTATAGACTTCTGGGATGTCCACAACCGCAGTTGCTGTCGACTTGCCTCTTTTTATAGCAGCACACAGGGGCCATGCGAGCCTCGACCTGAAGGGATCCCGGATCGGAGGTGGAGCCAAGCGCTTCCTAGGCACGCGGTTTTGGCAGACTGTCTTACAGAGACCGGGTCTTTTGGTGTACCTCCAGAGCCCCACAGACTCCAACTTCCCCTCAAGATTCTTCAGAATGTTTCTGAATCCATCTTAAGCCTTGGGACTTAGTTAGCATCCCCGATGTCTTTTTGTTAAGAAAGAATCTCTAAATTCTTTGGTATAAACGGGGGCATCTTCTTCCGCACTTATGTGCCAAAAGCCTGTCGAGCTTCATGAATGCAGCGCTCCAAACCCCAAACCCTAACCCTAAATACTAAACCCAAACCCTAACTAACAACAACAGGAAAACAAAAACGATAAATGGAAGCCGCTCCGAAGGCCCGAGTGGCCAACGTAGGCCATGGGCTCCACTCCTGCGCCTCGCGATGTGCCGTTGGTTCCAGGCCTTCGGTCATGAGGTATGGCGTACGATAGCTCCCTCCCTCCCTCCCTCCCTCGCTCCCTCCCTGCCTCCCTCCCTGCCTCTCTCTCTCTCTCTCGCTCTCTCTCTCTCTCTCTCTCGCTCTCGCTCTCTCTCTCTCTCTCTCTCTCTCTCTCTCTCGCTCTCGCTCTTTCTAACTCTCTTTCTCTCTCTTCCTCTCTTTAGCATCTGCGCTTTCCGCCACAATTACAGCATGCAGCGCACACTTACCGTCCAACACATCCCGAGGGGAGGCCCACTCCTGCACAAAAAAAGGCCTCCGCCAGCGAGGTCTGCGAGGATCTCAGGGCGCACCCCGGAGCCGGGCCCCGGAATCAGGGCCCAGCAGGCCATGGCAAGCCATGGCACCGAAGATATGGAGGAACATGGACAAGGAGTTGCGCAGACTTGGGAGGCCATTATGTAGGGCCCCAGGTAGGCCCTCTTGGAGCCTAAAACACACGCAGCCCCCGGGGGTTTCTCTTCATGCTGCCTCTCCCTATCAGAGTAGACCTCTGTCCTTTGCCACACCATGGACCCGTTGAATCCCAACTCCTATGTAAAACCCTAAACACCTAAACCCTAAACCCTAAACCCCAAACCGCGAAGCCACATGTGTCAATTTGGGTCTCGCACACGAAGGGGCCCCCGGCCTGCCGACCAGGCTGCGGCCCCTGGACAGAACGGCGGAACCCACCACGAGGTAACAGCAACAACTTTGTGTAGGGTTTGTTCTTTCTTCTTTTCCGGGGGAGGGCGGGAGGGGCTCAGATTCTACGTATATAGTGTCCTGGATGTCGGGTTTAGGCTCCGGAGTGCGGAGACTGCAGAATGTTGCCGAGACGCCGGATGCCCAGGAGCTGCTCTTTCCCGAGCACGCGAGCATGGCGAGGCGGCACGCAGCGATGGGGTCTACCGTAATTTACATACTACATGCTAGGTACTCTGCACCCTCTGGCCCCATGCTCTACCACTATTTGGGATTTGGATCCGGTTCTTTCCTCTCTGCACCTCAGATACCTCAAACCAAGCTTGTCCAACCTTCGATGCTATGAAGCGAAAATCGATGGCTTGCAAGGGGATTGTGTGATCTGAGTTCGTAAGTCCAAACGCTCTAAACCCGAAACTCTGTAGACCCTTAACTCTAGACTGTAGACCCTTAACTCTAGACTGTAAATACCCTGACCCCTAAGCCCTAAACTCTGTAGACCCTCAAACTCTAGGTTGTGTAAACCCTAACCCCTAACCCCGAACCCCTATACCCTAAACCCTATGAGAGCTGGAAGCTACACCATGGCAGCTTGCGGAGAGAGCAGCGACAGCGGGGGCTTTGGGCTTCCGACAGAAGCTTCGGATCAAACAGAATCCCATCCAAGCATCCCTTACAAAACCCTAAAGCCCTAACACCCTTAGACCATCAACTCCCAAACTCCCAAGACCCGAAAGCTACACTAAACCCCGAAAAAACCCCTATAATATCTCTCCAAAAACCTTCTAAAACGCTACAAACCCCCTATAAAAACCTTATTAAAAAAACTGTAAACCCCTATAACACCTCATAACATCCTAAAACCTCAACCCTAAACCCTAAACCCCAAACCCCCCCAAAAACCCTATAAACCCCCATAAACCCCGCGAGCCCCGAGGCGATGGGGAGCCCCCCAAAAGCTGTGGGGCACTTCGCGAGCGCCGCCTCGCCCTGGCAAAAAGTCAAATTCGTCGTAAGGGTTTGCAGGGTTTAGGATTTAGGGCTTGGGGAAAGTGAGTGTGGAGAGTTTTCGCAAGGTGCATTTCAGGGTTTGGGCTTCAGGATTGAGGTTTAGGGTTCTATGGCTTTTCCCCTTTCTGCACTATGACTGTTGGGATTAATTATTACTAAAATAATAAGTATTAATATCATTTTCTTGTATTATTCATATATTATCTTTTCTTTGTCTCTATTTTTTTTTGTGGGGGGGGGGGGGGTCCTCTGTGCATCTGATGAAGATCGACTGTCACATGAGGGACTCCTAGTCTGGAAGCTTGGACGAGGGCTTTGCCCCAACACCCTTGTAAACCCCAAACCGTCCACATTCATGGACCCAAAAAAAGCCCTAGCCCTCTACAGCCTATGAATCCTACTGAAAACAATGTTCCTGCCTTCTCAGCGCCCCCGATTTTCTCGCATCTAGCATCAGTTCAGCTGGTCAATCGAAACTTTGGCATGCACAGGGTGACAAAGGAGACCGCCTGCACAGCTTCCCTCGCTTCGGATAACCCTCGACTTCCAGCTATCGCCGAAACCTGAACTCCAAACCCTAAACTCCATATGGAGTAGACACCTGAAACCGAGACCACGCCCATAATGGTCCAGAATTTGGAGCATTACCGAGCCCAAACTCTAACCCCTAAACGGGTCTTCTAGGGCTTTTGGGTTTGGGAGGCTCTTGTGGGCTGCACGGACCCTCAGGGTGGTCAGCTTATAGACTTGGAACTTCGGCAAACCCCTGTATAAGCCCTATAAACCCTACAAGGCCAGCATCCTAGACCCCCGAGCCGCAATGCGTAGCTGTTAGGGGCCTAAACAACCACCTAAACAAAATGATCCTACCATTATTTGCGGTATAAGGGACCCAAAAAGGGGGATTCTCGAAAACCTCGTTCGGAGAATCCTTATGTTTATGTGGCTTTCTTGGGCCCCTATATAGGGCTGTTCGCTAAGCGTTACGCAACCCAACCCTGTCGCTCGGCGGTCGTCTCGCCCTTGAGGAGAGACGTTTAAACGAACTTCTGAGGCATGAGCTGCGGATCAATCCTCCCCCCAGTCTCCCATGACATCACAGTTTCCCCTTCTTCCCCCACCTCAGAAATTTCCAGAGTCAGGGACCAGAACGAATGTTGTAGACAAATCTTGCTCTGGGGCAGCGCCACGTAGATTCCCGAGGCCCAAAAGCTGTAATTCCTTCAACCCTAAGCACAAAACCAGATTAACCCGACTACCCAGAAACCCAAACCCTGTAAACCCTGTAAACACTATCAATCCTATAAACCCTAGATACCCTATGAACCCTATCAACCCCATAAACCTTGTCAACCCTATAAACCCCAGAAACCCCATAAACCCCATAAACCTCATAAACCCCATAAACCCTCTAAACCCTGAAAACCCCAAAAAACCGTTAGAACCCTATAAGCCCTATGAACCCTAAACCCGAAAACCCAAACCCTGAACCCTAAACCCCAAGACCCTTCAAACCCGAAACCCTAAAATCCTGTGCTTTGAACCCTTTTCCCGGATGCCCTGCCGAAAGCCCGGGGAGGTGTCGCGCACTCCTCCGAATGCCCCGCTGGACTGCCACGCCTCTGCTCATCAACCTGGAGGCCGTTGGGCCACATAGGAATTTTAGGGTGGTTTCAGGGTTTAGGGTTCAGGGTTTAGGGTGTAGGGTTTGTTTCGGGTTTAGGGTGATTTTATGATGATTTTAGGCTTGTGTGGGGTTTAGGGTGATTTTAGGTTTTAGGATTTTGGTTTGGGGTTTAGAGGGCCCAAAGTCATTGCCGGACGGGCCCTCCATCCTGCACTACGAGAAGCTCTGACCCTTGAGCGTTTCCACACCCTACCTAAAACCCGCAACCCTCAAGCCTAGACCCTACAAACCTCTAAACCCCATGAGCCCTAAACCCTAAACCCTATACCCTAGACCCTAAACCCTCTTCGCACATGAAGCGCTTCAAGGAGCTCTTCATAGCTTGACGGAGTTGCTGCTTCACTAGGATATCTCGGGAATCGCCGGGATTCCCTATGTTGGTGACTCTGACATGTCTCCGTGTAGATCCCTAAACCCTAAACCCTAAACCCCAAACCCTAAACCCCAAACCCCAAACCCTCAACCCTAAACCCTAAACCCCTAAATCCTAAATCCTAAACCCTAAGCCCTTCTTTTGAGGAAGGGAGTTTTTTTCGGGGGCTTGAGAGCTGGGGATTTTGGGACTCCGAGGCTTGAGATGTTTAGGGTTTAGGGTTTAGGGTTTATAAGGTTTAGGGTTTAGGGTTTAGGGTTTAGGGTTTAGGGTTTAGGGTATAGGGTTTAGGGTTTAGGGTTTAGGGTTTAGGGTTTAGGGTTTAGGGTTTAGGGTTTAGGGTTTAGGGTTTAGGGTTTAGGGTTTAGGGTTTAGGGTTTAGGGTTTAGGGTTTAGGGTTTAGGGTTTAGGGTTTAGGGTTTAAGCCCAAGAAGGAGGTGGTCGGGCGAGTTCTTAAGGGTGTTTAGGCTAGAATTTAGGATGCAGGGGCCAAGCCCCCCAATCTTCCTAAGCTCTACACCCTCCCTCAACCCTTAAATCCTAACCCTAAACCTCGAAACCCCAAGCCCTATAAACTCAAAAAACCTACAAACCCTACAAACCCCAAACAGGCCCCCAAGACCCTAAGCACGTGGGCGCCAGAACATCGTGGCCTGCGCATGCTCTCAGCACCGGCAGGCCGGAGTCCTGGGTGGTCCGGTCTTATGCAACTTAGCGTCTAGGGTTTAGGGTTTGGGGTTTAGGGTTTGGGGTTTAGGGTTTAGGGTTTGGGGCTTAGGGTTTGGGTTTAGGGTTTGGGGTTTAGGGTTTGGCGTTTAGGGTTCAGGGTTCAGGGGAAGCATGTTGTAGGGATCCAAAGATCATGACTTTTGAGCTGTTGCGGGTTCAATTGAGCGATCTTGGGATGTGTTTCGAGGCTCCGAAGCGGTTCGCAGGCATGTGCAAGTAGACTCTAAAAGCCGAAGCCCAAAACCCCAAACCCCAAACCCCAAACCCTAAACCCTTTTTGTGCTTACATGATTCAGGATTCAGGACTTCGGGTTGAAGGTGTAAATCTTAAACCCAGCCGTCCAAAAAGCCTCAGACCCTGAAACTCGAAACTTGATGGTTTTTATAGGCCCCAGGGTTTAGGGTTCAAGGCTTAGGGTTTGGGGCTTGGGGT